TTAACTTCTGTTAGTATATTAAACAACCAGCGAGTAGCGAGTTTTATACATCTGAGTTAACTTCTGTTAGTATATTAAACAACCAGCGAGTAGCAAGTTTTATACATCTGAGTTAACTTCTGTTAGTATATTAAACAACCAGCGAGTAACAAGTTTTATACATCTGAGTTAACTTCTGTTAGTATATTAAACAACCAGCGAGTTTTATACATCTGAGTTAACTTCTGTTAGTATATTAAACAACCAGCGAGTTTTATACATCTGAGTTAACTTCTGTTAGTATATTAAACAACCAGCGAGTTTTATACATCTGAGTTAACTTCTGTTAGTATATTAAACAACCAGCGAGTAACAAGTTTTATACATCTGAGTTAACTTCTGTTAGTATATTAAACAACCAGCAAGTAGCAAGTTTTATTCAAAGCCATGTTATGAACCATGTAGTAAAATATTAATTGAAAACCATGTTATTAACCATACAGGAATGAAAGTCATGTTTTTAACTGTACAGGAAAGTATCCATTGTTTCTGGATTCAATACTTCTTTAATTACACACATGTGTACCTATTGATTACACACCCACCTATATCACTCACTTCAGAAAGGTTTAGTTTAGGAACATCAAGCTTTTAGGTTAGACCTACTACAGTGTGGTCCAACTGGAAACCTGTGGACTGAATCAAGCCACAATAATGACTTCATCTGGCTGTTGCACTCATTGATCATGATTAAATTCAAAGTCAATGAACTAAACAAAATTTAATCACAAATATATTTTAACAAAAAGTATAAAAAAAAACTGCTCCATGTTGCCAAAGATCTGGGGGCATGCCCCCCTAGAAAATTAATATAATTTATAGGTGCTATAAAAGTCGAATATGTGGATGCTGTAGCACCCCCAGCATCTCCAGTTCTGACACCTGTGCTCATTCCACCAATGATAGCTGAACAAAACACACAATTTTTAAGTATCTATAAACATGAGCCAATCAAAATTTTAGTTTATTTCACAACATATAAAGATGAATTTCTTTGCTGAAAGAATAATTAAGGTATGATCCTTTGACATACAATACTGCCGAACTACTAAGTCTTTGTGCATGTGAATAAAAACGAAAAATTAAGGAATCCATCTCAATTGAACAAAACAACCCTACTCTAAACCAACACCCTGGGGTGCCAAG